TGAATGAAATGATGATTTCTCATAGGATCGTACATGAGTGGGACATCAATCACATTTCCACTAGCAGCTAGATCAGACTTATCAACATGTGAAATGTTGTGGAGAGCAATATTTGGTTCATATTTCTTGACATACAGGATGTAGTTGGACTCCAATACACTAAGAGTAATACCAATTTCACCAAACACAATATCATGTATTTGGTTAATCAAAACGACATACACATGAGAAAGAATTCCAATACGAAGAATTATGCCATAATCACTATTCTTCGTTAGCCTCTTCTTTTGAACCACTATTGGTTGTTAAATGTTGGGAGGACCTCCAGCCTAACCATCAACCTTCCCTTTAATGACAACACCTTGCTTGAGTCTCATAAAGTTCATAAGTGGTAATTCAAAATCATGAGTAAGACGTTGAAACATCTTGATTTGCTTTTCAAGTTGACAAAATTCATAGATATTTCGTTTTTAAATTTTGAGTTCAGTACACATATGACAACTTTATTTGCATCAAGCCCCAAGTTGTATGTACCATTGCTTAGTTTCAGTTTCTAACATGTCTTTCATGATGCCTAAAACATGATTTTCAACATTCTGCTTTACAGTGCCAACAACCACCATCTTCAACTTTACATATTTCTTTCTCTTATGGCTATCACAAGATGTAACATAGTTTATTTCTCCTATTAATTATATATTGCAACTAATTTAAAAATAAAAATCTTCACAAGAAAACACCTTATGGGGGGGTGGGAACAAGCAATATGAATAAGAATATTAGGCTTGCCAAGTCAAACCTGTTAATAATTCCTTTGAAACTTCTCATTCCACTGATGCTGATGGTTTGGTTGAATACCATACAACTTATAATATTATAAAGGAATGGAGGAGATACAATTAATGTATTGGTAATCATGTCTGGCCAGATATTGAGACATGGTACCTGAGATTGTGCAATCTGCTTTCTGAATAGGAGTAATACACTTTGAATTTGATGGCTCACTGATATGTATACCCTTTTTCATGCCTTTGAAGGTTACAACATTGTTTGCTTGGTTAGATTCGCCTTCTTCATCATTAGAGACATTGAAGATTCTTCTTTGTTTCCTTGAAACACTTGAGCATTCAACTTGAATATGTCCAAAATATTTGCAATTAAGACATTGGATTCCTTTGTACCTGAAGGAGTAGTTGAGATTTTGTCTTTCACCATCCTTTTTTTATGTTGATTGTTCATAACATTGGTAGGACATTATTAAAAAATCTCTTGTCAAGTTTTCTCATTACTTTACTAAAAATCTTGTCAAGCCTGAGATTTTCTTTAGAATTACATTCTACTTGGTCTTCACAATCTTCCTAACTTCCTTTGGCTCTATTCTTTGGATGATGAATAATCTTTGATTTATGAATTGCTCCTCCTTTATTAAAATTCTCCATATTGAACAAAATAAGAACCATGTTACACAACCAAACAGAATAAGGTGCTTGCTCTGATGCCAATTAAATTTTTATTCTCAAGAGGACAGGTGTTGGACCAGATGTCAGGGATAACGTGAACAACTGATTTATGATAAATAATAGATTTTAGGGACATTGTATATTAGAATAAAAACGAATTTAAAATACCAAGAGAAAACATGTTGGTCCTTTTGGAATTGGCTGCATTATGCAAAGCAATATGAAGTTTGCTCAAGATGGTTCTGAAGCAAAAGGGACACGTGTTGAACAAGATGTTCCAACATGTGGGCTGCAACATATTGTCTCTTGGAAACAGATAGATGGAAATTGTAGTTTGTTTTGATGTTTTCTATCCAAAATTCTTTCTATAATAGAAGATCTACAAGTCAACAAAATAAGATGAATTTGGATGCACTGGTGCAACATGCTGAACCCGATGTTCCAGCATGTGTTGTACAACATCTGACGTTGATATCAAGCCATGTTGGATGTTATTTATTGTGTATTTTTTGAATGGTTTTCATTCAGATTTGATGTATTTATTTTAGCATTATTTTAATTGATTTGTTGATAGATGGAGTTATTAAAATCAAATTTAAATGTGGTTTAAATTTAAACTTGAATTAGAACAAATCATATCTTTTGTGGGAGAGATTTGAGAAGCAAATCATATCCAATTGATTTAGTTTTTTCTGGACGAATTAAATGCAGATCCATAAGGAGAAAAAATCCAGAAGACATTGGGATATAAGGAGACTCAATAATCATTGTTCGACAAGAGTTTTAGTACGCAAGAACTATGTTATTTTTGCTAGGGTTTGAGTCTTTGTTTATTATATTCCAAGCTAATGCCTGGATTAGTGTGGAATTTATTATTGTACACCTCTATGTTTCAGTAACTTGACATAGAAGGTTTGTCTTAGTTGAGTTGTAATATTCAACATTGTTCATTGAATTGTAAACAACAATCACGAGGTGTGTGATTGAAAAGAAAGTGTGTAGGCTCTCATATTTAGGGGAATTTCTTATATAGAAAGTCAATAGGATTAGGAAGAGGCTTTGAACAACATAAGGTTTGTTGGTTCTTGTAAGACTAAGTGTATTAATTCAAAGTAGTGAATTTACTTTCTGCGGTAGAGTGCCCCTCCCCAAATGTAGGTGTGGTTTCACCGAACTAGATTATCAATCTCTTGTGTTATTTTACTGCCTTCTGTACTGTTTTATTGCTATCTTTCTACTGTCATTCTGGTTTATAAAGTTGGAAAGATGTATCAATATATGGTCCAACATCTATCCCTTGAGGAACAGAATTACAAAATAGTTTAGCTTATGCAAGATGATAAATCAGAAAAGCAATAAAATAACACAAGAGATTGGTAACAAAGTTTGTTGAAACCACACTTACGTCTGGGGGAACTCTAAATAAAGGAAATTCACTACTTCGAATCAGTATAATGTCTCTTATAGGAACATCAACCCCCATGATGTTCAATGCCTCTTCCCAATCCTAGTGACTTTCTATTTAGCACTCTCCCTTAATATGAGAAGACATCTCACTTTCTCTCAATCACTAACCTCTAGTAATCAACTTCAATAACAATTATATTGATTGTTGAATTTATAACTCAACTACGACAAACCAATAACTATGCAAATTAATTGAAAAAGTAGAGTGTTGCTCACAAATGTATTCAACACTAATCTTTATGAGAGCATTAGCATGGAATGCAAGAAACATAAACACTTTGTTCTCAAGCTAATAACATCAATATCTTGGAATAAAGCTTTATAACTCAACTAGGAAATCAACCTTTATGTCTTAAGATATGAATGGAGGCGCTATAGCGGTGTACGATAATAACTCAAAAAACAATGAGTCTTCAAAACGTGCACACCTCAAACACTAGGTTTAAGTCTCCTTATATAATAATGTTTCTTTGGGCTTTTTCCAATAGGCATTAGCAACTCTGATTTCATCCAAAATTATTGAGGATTTGGTTTTAATTTGTTCCAAAAAAAAAATCCTCCAAAAGATATGATTTATTTTTTATTCAAATTCAAATTTAAATCTCTATTTAAATTGAATTGATCTCAGCCAATATTTAATAAACAAATCAAATAATTGAACTGCTGAAATACAACAACAAATTTGATTGAAATCAATCAGAAATTTCGCTCCTAACAACATCTATCATGGCCTTCTGATAGGGGACAAACATTGTACTGCCCACATGCTGGAACATCGTGTTTTACATGTTGCACCAAAACATCCAAATTAACTCTCTTATTGTAAATCTTCTTTGTAGATTAAATATTGGATTAAATCAGAATCAATTCATCCTTCAAAGCAAATCCAATTAAATCTTCTTTGACTAAATCAAATCCAAGTCTTTTCAAAATTGATTTGGATTAACAAAACAAACTTCTTCCAAAAGCAAACTTCTGCATCTTCTGAAGAAATTAACACTACAACAGTTCTAAATGAAATCTATAGATGGTCAGAATCCAATCCTTACACCAAAATGTCACACAGCATGTGTTGAACATCTTGCTTAACAAGTTTGTTAGAACCAAATCTTTCTCTTAAGCACTTTGGCTGAACCTTTGGTTGAACAGATCTTCTTAGAAACAAACACAATCACACTCAGATTTTTTCATGAAATCTAGCTAACAAACTGAGGCCATATGTTAAAACATCGTGTTTCATATGTTGCCTCTACATAAAATACATCTCGTACATATAATATTTTACCTAATGTAGCCAATCACATCAAACAATAATGTAAATAATATTTAGAATTGTTTAACAATTTAATACTATATTAAAGTCATATTTTGATGCTTAATATAATGTGTGTATAGTGGTGCATCAAATACTATATAATATGTTATGGCTGAGAATTAAACTCATGACTTATATGGATTACACCACAATTGTTTAATACGATCATGAATTTTCCTTCCCGGTACAAACCTAATTTGGAAAGGAGACACAATCCAATTAAAGAAATGCAATCCTTTCAACGTTCAACAATCACCTTGCTCACCACCTTGTAAATGGCATTTCATTAAGAAATAGGCCTAAATTGATTAACAAACTTGGAATAAGCCACCTTGAGAATCAAACTATCAACCATACCTTATTCCCATAAGGGATACATCATCACTGTTTGTGACCACTCCCTGTTCTCTTATTTTAATCAAAATTAGTTTGTAGTCTCTTATTTTATTCTTTTATTCATAGCATTTTTAGGTATCAAAAATCACTTTAAAAAATCTTAAAGTGAAACTATATTTCTTTTGCAAAATTAAGCTTTCCAACTTCAACAGCAACATCATTTCAAAATAAAAATCCCAAAATTATAAAACAAAATGATATAGAAATACATTTAAATCAAATATCTTTAGAACAGAATCTCTCCATTGAAGATATTGTAACTTTATTAGATTAGAAAACACTTACATAATTAAAACTACTAATTAATTTCCATAGACATAACATATAATAATTAACTTATTGATCATAATCATAAAAGTAACTTAAAGTAATTGTCTAACCATAGCAGCAGTAACAGCTGAAACATCATGCATATCATTGTTCTGTTTAGTAAGTGGTGATTTCCCATTAAACTCACTCTCACAATAACTTGCTTCATTAGCTGCATCATTTGCACCATCTTCTGCAAATTTTGGATCTCCTTTCTCCAATGCTTCAATAGCCTGAGGCACATCAGCCACCAAAATTGCTCTATATTTGTCACCACAAGAACTCAAAGCTTTTCTAGCTCCACCATTTCTCACCCTTTGTAGCTGGTGGATCTTACTCAATCCATCATTTGCTTTTGCTTTCATCACTTTCACCATTATTTGAGCTAGTCCTGATATATCAGCTACAGAAGTTCCAGAGTTTTGTTTGAGAGATTGAAGACAGATATTGTAGTTTGGTGTTTTTTTGCAAGTGTTTTCAATAAGTGATAGTTTTTCATCCTTTAATGGGAAAGTGCTTCTGGAGTAAGTTGTTGGTATTGAGGTTATGAGAAAAATAGCTTGAAGGAATAAGCAAAGAGTTAGAGGCTTCAAATTTGTCATTGTTTGGTAACTTGATTGATTGATTGTAGCTAGAAAGCAATGTTAAGGACATTTTATAGTGTTGGAAAAAATTATTAGAGATTGATTCTTGTACGCATTTTCCCACTTATGTAATGGCTTTCTTAATCAACTATTCTATAAAAAATTATTATGGTATAACTTTTATTAAAAAAATATCCAACTACATATCATCTTTTCAAGTTCAGATCTCTTATTACATATATTATATATACAAATCTCTGCCATATTGAGGTATTTTGCTTTATATATGATTGTGTTTGTAAAAGTAGTACTAGTTGCTAACCTCATACATTTTTTTAAAAGTAGTACTAGTTGCTAACTTTATACATTTTTTTAAAAGCAATGATATACTGAAAAAGAGTACAAAAGCTACTCAACCCAAATATAAGAAAAGAAGAGAACTATCACATATAATATAAAGAGCTTGTCATCCAATCTTCTTTAAAAAAAAAGAGAGAGGATGTGCTTAAATCTAGTTCCAAACTAAGTCCTAAAACAACAACTTCACAACTAAAACAATATCATTAGATCCCTTCATACCTCCATTAAATAAAGTGTCTTTTCTAATCAACCAGATGACTCTAATAACTGCTAACTGAATAAGGATTCTAAATTTCTTCTTAGTTTAATCTCGTAAAACCAGATTAAAAACCAATAAATGGTCCGCTATACCATCACCAACAAAAGAAAGTGAAGGCAAGTTAACCCAATCCAAAACAGGATTCCAAGTCTATGAAGCAACCGAAATAGCAAAAAACAAAAAGATGGATGTGGGATTCATTTGCATCGAAGCACAACGGACAAACAAGAGAATGTGGTTCTGAAATAACGCTCATTTTCTCTAACTCATCTCTGATTTGAAGCCGATAGAGGAGGAGACGCCACGCGAAGACTTGAATATTAGATAAGACATTTGCTCGCCAAAGGCAATCCAATGCGGGTTTCAAAGATGAATTCGAAATGACAGTAGAGTGAAGGCTACAAAACAGTTTGGTGTAAGCCGATATCACAGAAAAGCAGTTTGGATCAAACCACCAAACACACCTATCAGGCATTTCCACAGTAGGAAAAATCCCTGTCAAAATGCCATATAACAAATCTGCTTCTGTCAAAGAATCTCCCTACAGCAGTATCACCGAAGGCTCATTAATATTCCAAAACCATAACCCCCTTCCCATTACAACAAAAGCCCACATTATCCATTTTCACTTCCTATGCATGTTCATATGCTTGTATGTGTTTTTGTATGTTTGTGGAGAATGTTGCTCGACGCTTTTGTATGTATATCCGGTAGTGTAGAGAACTGGCCGGTTGAACGGGGTGGTTACCTGGTCGGTTACGGAGATGGCCAACGGTCGGGGACCTATCCCTGCGGCGTAAATGTCCCATCGCGAGCTGAGAGTTCTTCCAACCTTGGTACTGCGGCGGTGACTCTCGGTCGAGTGGTCGCCGTCGAACATAGCATTCTGCCCCCCACACAAAGGGCAGACACTTGTTATCTCGTTGATTTCGAGGAGACGCGATTGTACCATGTCGCGTGTCGTCTTGTCTCGGACACGGTAGGGACCTTCCCAATTGGCGGAAAGCTTACCCTCGCGCGAGTCTTTCGGGTTTCTCTGTAAGACCAGATCGTCTATCTGGAATTCGCGCTTTATGACCATACAATCGTAGCATAGGGCAATTTTTTGTTTCAGTGCGGCTTCCCAGAGATAAGCCCCTGAGCGTATTTCCTCGACTGAGTCGAGCTCGTCTCTGAGGGCCTCGTCGTTGGCCTCCTCTTCGAGGGGGGATTCCGTTCTTCTGAATGGTTCCCTTATTTCGATCGGGATTACAGCCTCGGTCTCGTACGTTAGCCGGAAGGGTGTTTCCTCGGTGGTTGAGTGGGGTGTCGTTCTGTATGCCCAGAGCACGCTGTGGAGCTCCTCGACCCATCTCTTTTTAGCGTCTCCGAGCCGGCGTTTTAGGCCTCGCAGAATGACTTTGTTCGCGGTTTCTGCCTGGCTGTTCGTTTGCAGGTGTTCGACTTACGTGAAGTGCTACTTTATCCCGAGCTTGGTCACAAAATCTTGAAAGTTTTTGTCAGTGAATTGCGCACCGTCACTACGCCAGAAATGACATTTAACAGCACTTTATGAAAAAGCGCTGCTAAAGAGTCATAAAAAAAAAGAAAAAAAATAGCGTGCCTTAGACAGCGCTTTTTGAAAAGCGCTGCTAAAGGGGGCCCTAAGAAAGTGCTTTATTAAAAGCGCTGCTAAAGGAGGGCCCTAAGAAAGCGCTTTTGTAAAGCGCTGTTGTAGGTGTAACCTACGAGAGCGCTTTCTTTATAAGCGCTACTATATGGGGTATGAAAGAAAGCACTTTTAAAAAGCGCTGCTATATGTCATGCCTAAGGCACACCTTAGAGAGCGCTTTTTAAAAGCGCTGCTAAAGGCCATTAAGAAGCGTTGCTATAGGTATAATTAGAATAAATTTAAAATACCCACCAGAATTTTTAAAAGAAACAGAACAGTCGCACGTGTATCCTTCTTTCCTTCTTTCTCCTCTGGCGAACGTTGCCCTATTCACCACGACCGATTCCGTCGATCCCCTCCGTCTGACAGCCGTCGAGCGTCGCCCTCCTCCATTCATTCAGTCTGCATTGCATTTCTCCACCATTTGTCCGTCCGTTTTCGACAGCCTCCATCAGTTCATTCTGTAGTGCATTTCCGCCATTGTTACGGTATTTGAAGTTTTTCATTTTTCATTTTTCATTTTTCTGGATTATTGTCTTAGTATTTGATTTTTCTGTATTATTGTTTGATATGATGTTAGTGTTACTTCTTTTCTAAGTTATTGAGCTCTGAAGGTAGTTCTTTCGAATGTGTTGTTTTCTAATTTATCTTCAATTGTGAATGATTTGCTTCTCTTGTTTTGCTGTTTAACAATAGTGTCTTAACCTCAGTGTCAGTTTAAATGTTAATTTTCTCATTTATCTTCAACTGTGAAGGATTGTGTTAGAATCTTGTTTATGAAAGAAATCTTTCTATTCTTCTGTTAATTTTCTAGCCAAGGGATTTGGGCGTTAGTTGATTTTTTGATTTAATATTGGTGATTTTACTGCAAAATACAACAATATTTACACTGATTTATACTATAAGGAGGCTTTTATGTAGTATTTGTATCCGTTAGAGTATGCATTCACCAAATAGCAATGTTGTTTCAATGAAACATGGTAAGGAACTAGTTTTTCCTCTTGTTGTTGAGGAGGGTTAAATTGTGAGCAAAATTGAGTTTTTGATTTCAAATAAGTTTAGTGCTCTTTGATTTACATATATCAAGCTCTTTTAATAAGAAAATGTTTTTTTTTCACGTCTTAGATACACGTCTATCCTATTTTAATGAACATTTTAGAAGTCTATGCTTGAGATTTCAAAGGAAGAGACACCACTTCCACATTAATGTATACGAGTCTATTAAGAGTTCAAATGTAATTAAAGTTCGACTTTATAAGAGTTTTAGTCTAACTTTAAAATATGAGTAGTCTGTTTGACCCATATAATTAAAAAAATTTAAATTGTACTAATATTTATGTCAAGTAGTTAGTATGAAATATGAGTAGTCCGTTTTATGGTATTTTATTTTGTTCCTCATTTTATAGTTTCTTAGTTGTTCCACCTTTTTCTTTTAATATTATAAGGCTTTATTAAAAGAAATTATCAACTATATAAGAAGTTGTTACATTATTGCAAGTTTTACCAACAATTGATGTTCCAAGAATTATTTAATGTTGATGATGTTATTAATTTTGTCTGTTATAGGGGTTACCTGTGAAGAGGAAGGTTGTGATCGTTTTCAAGCATCCTACTGTGTAGCTTTCTTAGAAGTTATTGATTTCTTTACAGGTATTCTCTGTTTTTGTTTAACTTTCTTAGTTTAGTTTAGACTACTCAATTAGTATGGATAAAAAATGGATGTCTTCTAATCGATTGTCTAAAGAGTACGAGAATGGGATATCGAAATTCGTTAAGTTTGTTGTTGAACATGCCAAAGACCCCAGTAGGATCACATGTCCTTGCTTAGGTTGCTGTTATGGGCGTCGAATTGACGTCGTTCATTTGGAATCTCATTTAATGAGACATGGAATTGATCGAAGTTATACATGTTGGACATTACATGGTGAGATAAGCAACGAGAATGTCGAACCCGGGGATAATACAATCTATGCTTCAAAGGACAATGGCAGAGATACATATGATTGTGATCGAGTCGAAGAGATTGCAGAAGCACTTGAAGAAGATCTTCAAGATTGTCCCAAGATGTTTGAGAGGTTAGTAAGCGATACAGAGAAATCATTGTATAAAGGTTGCACTACTTTCACAAGATTGTCTACGGTATTAAAGTTGTACAACTTAAAGGCGGGTAATGGATGGTCGGATAAAAGTTTCACAGAGTTGTTAGCCCTACTTCAAGAGATGCTTTCGGAGGATAATGTTCTTCGCAATCGAACCTATGAAGCTAAAAAAATGTTATGCTCTATTGGCATGAGCTATGATAAGATACATGTTTGTCCAAATGATTGCATTTTGTTTCGAAATGAATATGCATCATTAAACGAGTGTCCTAAATGCAGTGTATCTCGGTATAAGAAAAAGTTGTCACCAACAAAAGTCTTATGGTATTTTCCTATAATTCTGAGATTTAGACGCATGTTTCGTAGTGAAACAGATGCAAAACACCTGACTTGACATGCAGATGATAGAATTATAGATGGGAAGTATCGACATCTGGCAGATTTATCACAGTGGATGAAAATTGATAATGAATATCTTGATTTTGGAGAAGAAGCTAGAAACCTTCGCTTGGCATTATCGACTGATGGAATGAATTTGCATGGTCTGCAAAGTATCTCACATTCCACCTGGCCTGTAATTATTATGATTTATAACCTACCTCCATGGCTATGTATGAAGCGTAAGTACATGATGTTATCTATGTTAATT